ATGCACCACATGAATGCACGTTGATGATATTTGATGGTTATTGATGAGAGACAATTGATAAGATTTTGACGCATCTTTGAAAAATAGCTCTTCAATGAATTGAAAATTTATTTTAGTTCTGCACAAGAAATCTCATTTACAAATTGTTAAATATCGTGAAAATTGGAAGGTGAAACAAAATACACTCCAGTGTTTTGTCCTGCTTTGAATCGGTTCATACAATATACATGTAATTCATTTATTAAAAACACACAGTGACACAATTATGTGGAAATGGGGTATATGTATTCACCTTTTTCATTGTCACTAGAACATATGTAAATAAAATGAGTTGAACTTGAATGTGAGAGGAAATACCCAACCACTCTTCTATTGCTAACAAAATCCTTTAATTTCACATGGTCACTTATATTGTCTCATTTCACGCTAAAGGGATTCAAATTGTAGGTGTACAGAAAAAAACCACACATTTTCAATATTCAAGAAATGTTTTGTTTGTGTATTGTATTGAGTTAACCGAGTTAAATTGGAACATCACTGTTAATTAAAATATAAAAAAGTATGTTTTTGGGAAGAATGGAAAATATGTATGAAATCATTAGGGATGGACTGTTTGAAAAGTGAGGGAGGGGAGCACGGGGGAACATTTATTTAATCCCTATGAAGTGATGACATTTGTGTATGCGAGTCACTTGATGCACATCGATTAGAGATTTTATTGTTGTCTAGTCCACCTCTTGAAGTGTCAATCTTTGATATGGGTCTCGGTTACCCAGAATTCAAATGCTCACTAAACAAATATCTGAAGCTAAAACTTAAAAAAAATGTATTTAAAAATCTAGTGATGTAATCTGTGTGGTACATTATTAGCTTGGATTGATTTTCATGAAAATTACATAAATATTTTAAATCCAAAAAAAACCCCACTTTGATGCTTTAACGAAAATGTGTTACAATTCTGAACATGCTTTTACAAAGGAGGAAGTTTTAATTCATCGCTGAGGTCATGTTTTGTGTAGACTACTTCCTGCTATCAGTCTATGCATTATATACCACCATGCTCTGTTTATAACCTTTAATTATAATATAAAGATCACTGACTGATGTAACTACACGAACATGTACCAATATAGGCCATGACATTGGCTAGAAGCGTGTAATTGGATAACACAACTAACATATGCCCAGGGAATATATGGATGTTAACTTGTGTGTTTCTCACTTTGACATGTAAAGGAGGATGCCCGTAATTCAATTTTTAACTTTCCCAGAATAATAATAATAAAAGAACGTTCAAGATACAAAAACAGAATTACTGATTATTTTTCAAACTTTTTTTTAACAATGAATTCCAATTAAATTGGGTTTTTGTGGTTACCTCATCTCAGGATATATGCAAGGTATCAGATATTTTGGAAACTCTTTAAACCATCAATTATCCATATAGTTAGTGTACATACTATAGGTACAGTACAAGGTTGTAAAATTTACTGTGATTACTGTGTTTCAGATTAGCCCAATAAATCAAACTCTGTGCTTTTGTAAATTGTTTTAAAATATAGGTTGGCAGAGATTTTCACATTCTCCTTAATAGTTGCTTTTTAGGTCTGTGAGAAGATCATCATGGTTAACTTTGATGTTAGTTTTCAGAATGTATTTCCTGAATATACCTAAGTGCTTGTCATTTGCTACAAAGACGGAAGTGCATGAAATCCAAAAATAAAACATTGTGGAAATGAACATATATAATTGGTATATATCATTTAGAGTTCATATCCATGAAATAAAATTCTTGATTTTTCCTCCAAAATGGGGAAGTAGGATTACCAAAACACATAAATGTAGAATTTGTTTTTATTTGATTTTTAGGAAACTAATTAATTTTACTAGTAAATATAAATCTCTGGCATGTGTAAGTGCTACAAACTATATATTTTCTGAAAGCGTGATTATAGAGAACTGACAGTAATGCCGTATGGCAACGAAACTTACTTGATACACTAGAAAAAAATATTTGCATGAGAATTGTGAATTAATAATGACTTTAGAAATATTTATCTTTTCCACTATACATTTATCATTATGCGAAGTGATATTTACGAGCTCTTATATTTTTATTGTTCAATAAATTACATGTAATTTATGCATTAACTCCCTGTTGTTAGTTGCTTCATTAATTTATGATGATTGTTGGCTCTACATTGATCATTGACTTTGTAAAATGGTTTGCACATGTAAACGTATTTTTGAATAGGTCATCCAAAATGACTCATAGATAAAAATAAAATACATTTTTTGTGCCAGGTGACAGTTCTGTACATTGAATGTCACTGTTATCTCTCATGAGTTTTTTTTTTAAGTGCTGACATACTTTCATTACGCCACAGAAACCTTATTCATGTCTGGGACTATATGACAGGGCGATGCGGCCATCTCTTTATCAAATGGTATTTTGATTCGTTATCCTGGTATCAGCCAGGCTCAGTTAAACACAAGCACATGCATACTATAACCAAGGTTCCCCAAAGTCCCATTCATAAGTGAATGAATTGCGGCCAGTTGACCCAGGGTAGGGGTCAACATTTTTATGTGTTCAACACCGGGTGGGATTTGAACTTGGGTCTACTGATCATGGGTCTGATATCTCAAGAGTCAATTACATGTATGAGTCAATATGGATTGAAATGAACTTGTATATATTGTACACTGCTACTACATGTAGCAGTGTATCATGAACACCAAACCAGTTTAGATTCAGGTACAAATTCGTGCATGTTAACTAGCTAATATGCATAATAATTACATTGTAGTTGTAACTTTTACAGCTTGTTTGTTTCTGTTTCATATCAGCATGTTCAGTTGCATGCCCTTGTCCCTCATCCGCCTTTGATTATAATTTTAGTATCAGTAACCATGGTGTTAATTGATTTGTATACTGTATAATGTTACATTATAGATTTACATTATGCATATGTACATGGAGCCACCAGCTAAAAGCTCTTAGTGCGATCTGATCAACTGATTTAAAAAAAACTGCATATGCCTTCTGGTGAAGCATCATATTGATGCATTTGAAATTATAGCTTGTACATTTATGCTATAATATGATTGTGTATTACTCTGCCGTTTTTCATATTTGCAAGAAACTTGCGCATTCATATTTCAATGTTTAACTCTTTGAATACCATATATTTATTCAACTTTTCTAGAATTACCCAGCAAAATGTTTTACCATATTTAAAAATTGTATTACCGGTAGGTCCGTAGCTAATTTAACAATTTGTATATCCATTTAATTTTAATAACTAAGAAATTATAGATACAATATGTTAAAATTTCTAAAACTGCATCCAAATTTTGGTGGGAAATCTTTCAAAGAAGTTAAACATGTTAACACTTCAGAATTCTGTTTATTTGTTGTTGATATATCCACAAATAGCTTAATGTGTCACGAATAGCACACATTGGTCACAAATACATGCATTAATAGCACATTTGTATAATTATAATTTGATTTTGAGGAGATTCTACCATGCTCTATCATGTATTGTATTGTGTACTTTCCTGATGACTGCATACAGTACTATTATTTAGCTATTTCTTATCCACTTCTACATTGTAAGGGAGTGCATTATAGTTTCATTGGACCTGTTATCTGAGAATGACTGATGCATCATTAGCTAAATGCACTTAAAGATCTGTAAAGTTTAGATCGATTTGAATAGCTGAACTTGGCAACTGTGTATGTCATTTTCTCATTATCACTAACTGATTACCTGCTTTATCTGCCCAGCATCTTTTTAGCTCCGCTGTCGACAAAGTCGACACAGCGGAGCTGTTCATATTACTGATTGTCCGTCGCTGTTTGTCTTCGGTGGCGTCAACTTTATAATTTCAACTTCTTCTTCAAATTTGATATGCAAGTACCTTGGATGGTTCTTTCTCAGATTTGTTCATTTCATGTCAAAATCTCAAATTCTCTATTTTTGGTGAATATTTTTGTAATTTTTGGTAAAATGTGATTTTTTTCGACTTCTTGTAAAAAACCGCACGTCCGATTACTTTGATATTACATATATAGGTACTACATGTGGACCTCTCTCAGATTTGTTCATTTCGTGATATCTTTAATTCTCTAATTTTGATGAATATTTTTGTCATTTTTGGTAAAAAGTGACATTTTCAACTTCTTGTTAAAAACAGCAAGTCCGATTGCTTTGAT